CGCTCTTCCCCCGTCAGGCACTTCTCACTCTAACAAGCCCACGGGAGCTGACATCCCAACTGTCCTGCTGCCGCCCAGGCTTCAGAAAACACAGGGGCCGTGCCCTCCACCAGTTTCACCTCTCCAGCTGGACCCTGTCTCCTCCCACCGCTTTTGAACCCACGGCTTGAAGCTGAGAGAAGCAGTAAGGTAGATGTCGTTTTGCTCCCACTGCTGTGGCTCTGCCCCTGCTCTGAAACAGCCTCCCTTTATTTTCACAAGTAGCCGGAGGGGTCTGGTGACAGGCAACGGCTCGTGGACGCAACACCGCACTGGCACGCAGAACCCAGTATTGTGAGCAGTCATTTCAGTTTATTTCGCTCAGATAAAAACAGAACTATAAAATGTTTGGTACGTTTTATTTAGCAACATACAAGAAGGAATATAAACTGCCACATGTTAAACTTGCCACAAAAGAGCTGGAGAATCACCCCCACTCCCTCTCCCTAAAATTATGTATCCAAAGTGGTACTTTTCTGTGGAAAATCTGTACCAGAGAGCTTGTGGTACACCAGGTTATACTGCAGCTTCTTGATAATCTGCGTGGTGTAAGAGAGTCAGAAAGTGCTCCAAGTTTTACTTTGTAGTAACTGTAACTTTCTAAACACCTCCTCGTGATTTCCCCAACATGCGTGTTCCACGTAAATGCACAGCACCCAAAACAGGTGGGTATCACATATCTATATATTCAGGATTCAAGTCCATTCAAGACAACTGTATCAACAGGTCACAAATTAGTATGTATGATGGACAAGATAAAATACACGGTGTAAGCTAAACATGCAGAGCACCCTTTTCAGTGCCAAGTGTCAATTCTGTGGGTCCACCCCCCATACTTTAGCCCAATGGAGCTTAATGTTAGTATCACTGACCAAACCCAAATCACAATTTTAGTTAACAAATGCAGATATAGTTTCCTTCATGCTAGCACTGCATCAGCTCTCCTCTCAGTCACTACCGGCTTCAAAGTGTTTTTATAAACCTTTAAGACATGTAAAATAATAGATGCTCATAGTAAAAGAAGTGCCACGATTTACTTTCACCAGCAAAATATCTCCTCACCCCCATCTGTTGTTCCCTTCCTTTTCACTCTCTCCCCATATCCCTCCATCACTGGAGTGAACCTAAATAATCTTCTATCACCAAACGAGTTTTGGTCACTTTCATGCTGCATTGATTTGCAGCTCCTTCTTCATCCTGACACAAAGATCTTCGGGAAGCAAGTGCAGGAAGATGGAAAAAGCCAACAGGATTTAGGATTCTAACGTGGAGTATAGAGGACCTCACCTCTATTTCAAAGTGGCCATAAATTCACTCACAGATTGTGTCTGGCTGATAATCATTTCTGTCAGAAGCTGTTTAATTTCAGTTATCTTTGTTCATTTTATCCTACGGATCATAACATTTTGTGCAGTAATCCTCTCCAAAGGATTCCAAAGATAAGGCTGAAGGTGTAGTCAGGAAAAAAAAAATTCTAATAACTTTTTACAAAATAATCCTCACAAACCCTCAGTGAGGTAGGCATGTGTTAACTCTCATTTTTACATACAGGGAAGTGAGGCTCAGCAAAGTCCCTTCCCTGTGGTTATAGTAAACCGGTGACACAGGAAAAATTGCAGTTAGTTCCTACCTTTCAACCTTATGATCAATTCGTTAGACGACGCTGCCTCAAAAATGGAACAAAATGTGTTTTTATTAAGAAAAGAGTCACTTAGATGGCAGTAGACTTACTTCCAAAAACCTCAGGGTCTTCTCTAAGTGAAACCCTGGTTAACCCTGGTTAAATACCGGGTTCTGGGGTGGGTTGTTCTATTAAGCCATGCAGCGTAGAATATGAAGATTTTTAAACAAAAACTCCACGACATCAGAATGTGTACACATTCTTATCTGTCATCACCTTAAACCACAAGGCCTGCTTTTTGCTCATCATTTGCTTCTTGCACTTCACTGAGTGCGAACAGTAAACCTAGACAAGTCTGTTCAGCTCCCCCATTCTTAGGCCAAAGCATTAACTTAATTTAGGATTTCCAAAAGCAATACAAATATTTAAAGTTTAATCTACAAAGCATTGAGTTAAAACCATGACTATACACGTGATTGCACTTCTATTAACATCAGAACTTAAAGAATTTAAAAAATAAACCAAAATGATGTATCTGGAATACATGTTAGCATCCTTTTAAGGCTATACAGGATCTTGTTTCTCAAACTGCAAATACCAGCATCCTTTAGGGATTAGGGACTACACAACCCTCTCTTCCCCAGCCATCAGCCACTCTGCAATTTAATAATTTGACTGTCTGGGCAGCATAACCATTGTACACGGGCACCATCCAATACATCCAACAGAAAGTCAGTACAGTACAATGCATTTCCAATACAGTACGTGACTGTAGCAGCATACAGACGCCAAGTAATGGTCTCCAGAACTGCCTAGAGAAATCTGGCTAGCATCAGATTAAACTAGTATTTGTGAAGAGACTTACCAGTGTGTGTGTGTGTGTCAGCCTCCAGCTTTTCTCCTGCTCTGGAGTTAATGCCTTACAAATAAGGTAATTTTACCTTTATATAGTGTCAAACAAATGCCTTTTTTTTTTTTTTTTCCTTAAACCTATCCTCAGATGAAATGAATATTCTTAAGCAAGAGTCTGGAGACTCCAAGAAGTAACTTTCTTGGTTATCAGCTCACTGTAGCGGAGGACAACAAAATGTGTAGTTTAGGACTGATACCTCAAAATAAATACAGAGGGTTTTTTGTTTTTGTTTTTTTTAACTGTGGATGATTTCTCAATAAAAATAAAATCATGCCAATGTTACGACTCCAGTATTCTCTTAGCATCTGAACCAGCAATAACAAAATCTTCATAGCAGTGGTTGTGGTGGAGGGCCCAGACAATACTCCTGCCTAACCACTGAACTAAACAGAACCCAGACTCTTAATTGTGAGAGTCCTTCTCCAATGCCGTTGAAAACTAACTCACCACCAGTCTATCATTAACTCCAGATACAGGTTAAAAAAAACCAAACAAAAAACACCATTAGCATAACCTGCCTGAATTCTTTTCTCTCAGGGCTACAGAAAAATTAGCCAAATTCTTTATTCCACTATTAGTGAAACCGCCCCCCATGGCAATGGTTTACATAATCACATTATTTCCAGTCTACTTCAAGTCCATATAAAGTCACATTTATTTAGACTTAACACACATGGTTTCCAGTGATGCTTCTGGTTTAGGCTCCAGCTTCTCTGGGAATTCTAGTTTTTCACAAATTGTCTCCTTTATGGGTAGATACTGAGAGATCTCGTTAGGTTCCGTGAACAGGGAAGGCGGAACGTGCT